TAGTTGTTTTTCTAATGAAATGAATGTTTGTTTTATTGATTACAGGAGGAGAGGAAACAGAGGAAAAGCAAATAAACTATTGTTTTGCGTACTTATAGTGACTTTTGTTGTCAATGTACTGTCATTTCAAGTACTTTTCCTTTTACTACATTTGATGTGATTTTTAATTTCTCTCGATTTAAAGATTATTAAAAAGTTTTAGTTATATATTTGCAAACAATTTAATGAATATTGACTGCTATTAACACATTATTGTATTTCAATTTATCTTTCAATGTATCGCATATTGAGTTGCAATTCATGTTAAATACAATAAAAATGATTATTATTTTTGTCCAATAAATAAATAAAATACTGACAAATAAATTGTGAGATAAATTTCAAATTACCATAAATTTTTTATACAGTAATTAAGTTTAATTATGAAATGCTATTAATTATTACAATAGTATTTCAGTTCAATTCAACACTACATTAATCTCAACAATGAGACCAATAGTTGGAAAAGTTTGGCCAAACAATTGGGTAATTATTTGAATATTTGATATTTTGGTCATTCATTGCTAACAATGATATGATTATGTGTTCACAGGGTATACATCGGACAGTATATCTCAATTCTCATCCCTGGGTCGTCAGCGTATGAATTGTGTCCAATATTTTCTGACCGATTGGAGTAAATACGAGGACTCGACCATCAGTTCACTAATCAAAGCCCTCCACAAAATCGGACGATTAGATTCTATTGTAATTATTGACCCATCCTTTAGGGTCAGCCCTTATTAGTCCCGATATTCGTCGACTATATTGTAATTTATTGTAAATACTATTCAAATATAATTAAAATTCAATTCAATTTTATCTTTAATTTCATTTTATTCATACAAATAATACTTTCGACACAACTATTGATTCATTATATGATTAGTAATACATTAAAACTTCATTTCAAACGATAATTCTTGTCGTTCCGGACATTATCTTCGGGCAAACCGTCATCCGATGAGCCGCTGTACGTGTCTATAGGGGGCGCCGACTTCGCCGCCATTCTCTTCGGCCGAATAATGGTATTGGAGGCCATCGTAGGGTTCGTATCATTGACTGAAGAGTTGGTACTCATCTCTGGCGTGGATTCGCTCGTGAGTGAAGTGTCCGTCTCTTGAGTCGGAGCTGTAGGCGAAGACTCGTCCGAAACATTGACTAAAGCCATTGTCTCACGTCTTAGAGGTGATCCCGAAGACCTTATGTCTGTCGGCGAACTCTGGGACCGTTCACGTGATGGATGGCTATCTGTCCTTTGATCCCTGGCCTGAAAGCGAATAAAAAACGATTGAAACGATTGGCTACCAGTGCTCTCACCCCTACCACAGCATTGCATTCACTTTGATTGCGATTAAGACATCGCTCTTATCGCTGATCCCATCACTCATTCATTCATCACTTGCTATGACACACAAGACATCATCACAACTACTACCCAACCCCT